AAAACATGAAAAAATACTCTTAATAGCTTTCATAGGGCTGTATCTAGTTGCAGGGTTGAACTGTGTAGTTGAGGAATCCAAATGATTCACTATTATGGTCTCATCATCACACGCTGAATAACAAATAGAGCTTTAAGTAATAACACATTAAAGCTATATCTGGAATTTCACATATCAGGTACAGTGCTACGACACAGTAACTTCAGCTGTGCTTTCATATGATTGAAAGTAGACAGAAAAAGATGAAGGAAAATGAGAAAAAGAGTTCCTCCAAAGGTGTTTTAAAGTGGGTAGCTCTGGGGCAGCTAGGTGGCGCAGTGGATAGAACACCGGCCCTGAAGTCAGGAGGATCTGAGCTCAAACCCAGCCTCAGACCAAACACTTGACACTTACTAGCTGTGTGACCCCACGCAAGTCACTCAACCCCAATTGCCTATTTAAAAAAAAAAAAAAAAAAGAAAATGGTTAGTGGGTAGTTCTAATGATTTGGGATGACTGCATTGAACTGATTTCAAAGCAATAATCTCCTACGGCTGGAATACGAAAATTTTTACAGTTGACCCGACCCTGAAGTAACTTTTCTATCTGGGCACACATGGTTCTGAATAAGCAATGATTTCCATAACTAAAATGGTCGTTATTGGATGAGACGTTATAAACCATTCTCTGCATTTGGATGAGTGTGAACGCTCTTAGGGAGAGCAGTCATCATCCTTCAATCTCAGAAATCACAGACAACCTCCAAAGGCCACTGTAAATGCCAACGTTATATGTTTTATTTTTAATCAAGTACTTCTTTGAAACCTCATAACATCCATGATTGACAGAAATAAGACATTAGGCATGAAATGAGAATATAAAATACATGATATGCAGAAAGGCAATCAGTGCTTTAGTCTAGCAAGATGACCATAAACTGATGAAATGCCCTTCAAGACATCTAACTCTTTTCCTCCTTTTAAAAACATACAATTCAAGTGATTTTTATTTTAGCTTGTAAACAACATGAGTCAAAATGGACAATGAGGTAATCTATATACTACATAGGATAATTTAAAAAACACTAGATAAGACACAGTATTAAAGACAAATAGAAATCAGTGTTCACTTTGGTCTCTAGTATGGTTATAGTTGTCATCATAAAGCATCACATACTAGTTAAAGCCAGGCTGGTGGTGGTTGCCAATAATTGCTAAAAAGGAGTTCAAGAGGTAGCCCAACACGATTATTTTAAAGCTGGTAACTCTGAAATGTGTTAAGCAACAGGTGTAGAACATAGCTCAGCTCTTTCTTCTGGTACAATATTAAATTCTGCAGCCCCATTTAAAGCACAAAACGGGAAAAAAAAAAGCCCTAAACATTGATATATCAACCTCTTCCTAGATCTCAACAATTATGACACAGCTAATACAACCACCACATCTTCAAAGAGGTTGCTGATAGTGTGTAAGAGAGAATTAGATGTTCTCCACAAGATGTTCTCTAAAACAAACAAATCTCATTAAGACATCTAGAAAATTAAAGTCAGTGCTTCTGCACATGTACATAACTTCCCAGTTTTTATAACCAAAGGGGAAATAGACACATATATTTTTATGATTAAACATTTCTTAGAGAAACAGATAAATTAATTTAAATTAATTTTTAGACTTAATGAGATTTCCCATGTCCTTTATAATTCACCTCACAGTGAATGTTACAAAGTCTATTAACACTTATGGGTCTCTATTCACAAAACTAAATACAACTAGCAGTAAGTAACTTGGGGATAGCACTGGTGCAAAATAAACTCAGGCCATAATAAGAAAAAAGAAAAAGATTGGCAATTAAAATATCCTCTGTTTGAAGGTGGATTGAAGCTACTAACATGTCAGGCCAGTCAGCCACAAGGATCATTCCTTGATCCCTTTCCCTACATTGCACTCAAAAACAGAACACGACTCAATTACTCTGGGTGGTGTGCAGGTGCTCATGGTTCTTTTGATTTTATCTGTCAATTAGAAAAGGAATCATGCAAAGTCTTCTAGTAAAGACATAAATTACATTATGAAAATGCTATCTCGATGTTTAGCCATTTATATTTTTGTAAGGTTTGGGAGGATGGGAGTGCATCTTTCTCATATTTTATGGTAGTTCACATACATGGACCACCTGAAGTGCTCCATCTGATGTACACAGGAGGGAAAGAAACAATCTCTTCTCAGGACCACAGCCCTGCCCTTTAACTAAGATACTGTAGTCCATGCAAATGGCCATTTCTTCTGTAGGGCATTCAAGCTCAGTTTTTCTTTCAAAGGACAATTCTAGTAGCTGGATATAGAATTGCGCTTTTTATATCACCGAGGCAATCCAGCGCTAGTTAGTTACATGCCACAGGCTGCGATGTTTAATGGCTTTTGGTAGCTTTGACTAGTAGCAATCTGAATAAAATTAGCATAAATGATTATTCACCCCTCAGCAATCAGGCTATATCCAAGGCTGCTTTAGCGTTCTATTTGGCTTTTGTGAAGAGTGCCCATAATCCTTTAGACCAAATCAATAACTTTAAGGAAATGTCTGGAGACTTCACACAACTAAAATCAGATGCTTCATTGTTACCAAGTGTTTGTCAGAAATATGCAGTGGTGAATTACTATACATTATACAGATATTAAAGAGTATGTACCATAGGGTCAACAGCCACCTTTAAGGCTGGAGCAGCATAAAGGTGTGCTCTGCATTAACTATGAGGTAGTCTTTTGCTGTAAACAGAATATAACATTTTCACCTATGCAAATACACGGTGACTAACATCACTGATATTTACATAAGCAACCAGTACAGGAATACCACTTTATTGTTTTCACATGAAACAAAAATACAAAAATTGATATCTGATTATCAAAAACTTAGGTCTATGTCAAACTCAGAGGTAGTTACTAATATCAGTCCATAATACTTACATAAAGGTCTAAGTTTTTTGGTTTGTTTTGAATAAGCAGGCCCATAGACTATTCTGTAAAGAAAAAACCCAACATTATATGGTATATTCCCTGAGCAAAGTTCTTTGTCCTGAGTATGTTATGTAATTGTGATAATACTCTTATATAAAAAAATAAACCCTAAACTTTTAACCATAAGATAGGTTTGGTATGTGCTCTTAGTAGTTCAGTCTGGGTTGGCGCTTAAAATGATTTTAAACTGCGCCAGTAAGATCTAAAATTCTGACCCTAACTCTGAATATCTTACTAAAACGATCTCAGCTCTGAACTTTTTTTAAATGTAAACAGGGAATGTCCAGTTCTCAAATGCACAATTTCCTATTTCTACGAGGTCAAGAAACTTTGGTTTGAATTTTCAAAGTGACCTATGTTTTGCATCTTTATACCGTTTAACCTGGTTATAATACCTGCTATAAGGTTAAGCAATGCCACTTTGATTTGTCTACATAATTTAAATAAGCTTACAATCCTCACATAAGGCAAGGAAGTACTTCTCTATAGATATATCACATTCAATATCGTCAAAGGTAAGCTTTGCATTATAGCACACTGAGAATATCAGTATAAACCATGGAGATTCTCACAAACACTGTCATGGAATTCAAGCTAAGTTGTAAAGGATTTGTGCCACAGCCTGAGGCATTATATCCTTATCTGCTGCTCACTGAAGCAGTAGCAACTGTAAAAGTCTCCCATAGCAGGACAAGTGGGGGAGGGACAACAAACCATACAACGGAAACTGTCTAATTTGATTCATGCTTTTTTCTTTTTCTTTTGATTATCTGAGCTTACACCTACCAGACACTTGCAAAACAACATTTATTGCCAATGTTAGGTGTTATAATTAAGTTATACTTTCTTGGAAATGTTTCATAAACTTCCGAATAGCAACTTGAACAGGAATGTCCTGTGTTTTTTCCTGTATGAATCTCAATCTGTACCAATACCATGACAGTTACTATGCAGCCCACACTTCCTCACCTCTCCCCAACCAGTTTATCAGTTTAACAAAGGAGTTACTTACTGAGACTATTGATGCAAAGCCTGCAATGCTGCATCCTGGATCTAAGATGCCAGTAGCACTTCAGAGCTCAGAGCTCGAGTCTCCATGGGCTAATTTCATCATCAATGATAAGGTAATTGTAATATGGTCAATTTCATCATGCCAAGTACATACACATAACTACATCTCGGGCAAGTGAGGTGTTAAGGACCTCTGCCCCAGGTTTCATGACTCTAGTTGTGTGCCATTAAATACTGCACTTTTTTCCCAAAAAATAGAATTCTCTTGTAACACAGGTTGGATAACTATTGGTACCCACTTTATTTTTATTCTCAACCTTTATCATAATGGTTTGGGGGTTTTTTGTGCTGTTTGGTTTTTTCATTTGATCTTTTAAAAAAAACAGATGTACTCCTGTATTCTCCAGGAAAAAACCACCACCAAAAATATACATCAAACTATTAGAGTTTTTCTCCAAGATTTTCAGTAGTTTTTTGTTTTGTTTTGTAAAAAGGAGGGTCCCTTGATTGAAACAATGGTTAGAGGGATTAACTTGACCAGGAAAGCTGCTTACTCCCAATGGACCCTCAAAAACCTGACAATACATAAAGGGTCACAGTGGGGTGGTATAACAATACCATACAAAACAATCAAGTCATAACAATTTTTATATCACCTTCCCTTCGTTCCTCCTAGTAGGCATCTAATTCACAATTTAGCCATATTCATGTAAAGTAATGATACCAGCACAGAAAATACACATTCATTGTCTTTTCTGGAGTTCTATATTCCAGAACAAATAAAAACTGTGGCAGTTAGAGGCATAGAGCATTAAGGTACTGCCTTTGAGACGTGATAATAGGAAATGCTGATCTATGAGCATCAGAAAAAAAAAAAAAGCAAAACCAAAAAGTTATCCCAAACTTGGGGAAAATGGATGTCTTTATACCCCTAGTACCATGTGATTGGCAGCTATGAGATGCGAAGTATTATTTGGTTCAAATAAAGAGTAACAGTCATATTTTTCTTGTTTATAAGTGGCTATAAATAAAAAAATGATATTTCAAGAAAGTTTCCAGGGGGTAATTTTCAAAAACATCCTAAAATGTGAATATTGCTTCACATGGACATTCAACTCTTGGACATTTCCAGTTGTGTGAGAGTGTGTGCTTATATCTACATACACACATATATAAAGATATACCCTTCTTTATATATATGTCTACATACCTGTATATGAAGGCTACACCCATCACAGATACATATTTTCTCCTTTCACACATGCAAACGCAGATACACATATGTTCTCATATTCGCTCTCATTCTTCCAACAACATAAAACATGACACCCTGCTTAAATATAATTTGCTTAGAGTGATTTGTCTGTTTAAAAAAAATTTCACAGTTCCTCAACAGTAGTTAAAACTCCAGGTCAGCTGCTGATGGTGAAATTACTTCCCCTGTACTTGCATGAGGTAGAAATCCCAACTGGGTAAAAAAAATGGTATTCGATGAAAAGGCTTTAAGTTTTTTTCCTTTTTTGAACAGAAGGCCCCTTTCTGCTTTGTTCTTCAGGTGAGGTGGACAACTTACTCGAAGAAGTTTCTTGAGGTGACCTGCCTGACCGTTCTGAGACCTCGGATCGGCCCTCCTGAGAATATGATGGAGATGAGTAGCCGTAAGCTCCTCCCACTTCTCGGGGGAAAGTTGAAGTGGATGGCTGTGGTTCTGCTTCATGTCTTCCCTGAGAACTAGTGGGCTGCTGCGGAACAGTTTTATGGGGGCAATTAGCCACCATGTGCATGATGCTCTGACAGTAATGGCACTTCTTTGGCTGAGGAGGTAGACTACATTCCTTAGCATGATGATCAAGGCCACCACAGTTGTAGCATCTGCAGTGAAAGAGGGAAAAAAAAGACTATTTTAACTGAAGGTAGCAAGAGGAAAATAGAATAAGAGCCTCATTTAAGTTGGTCTTACTAAGAGATCATAGTCTTTGGTGAAATAAATATTTTAAAATTTGCCTAATTATTTGCACTGACTAATCCAAGGGCTGCTGATTGAAATGAATGAGCTTACATAAAACAAGTCACTTCAAATACAAGAATTCAAAGCCAGTAAGTGCATATGTTTGTGGATTAAGACAAACTATTGTGGTTATCACAGAAATCACAATTTAAAAGCTTTAGAAGGGGCCTTAGGGGCCATGAGAACAACCTCATTTTAAAGATGTGGAAAAAGTGGTCTAAGGTTTAGTGACTTGCCCTATATTACAAGGTAGGAAGCCATGAAGTTGGAATGCAAACCCAGGTCCACCAGAGTGAGCACTTGTCTCAAAAAAGCCAATGAAAACTTTTCTTTAAAAATTGTATGGGTCTGTTTCTGATGCCTTAGTCCACTAGAGGGCACCCAATATTAAACAACATATACAGTACATAGCATTACAAAGAAGACTGTTTAAAAACATAGATATTCACATACATACTTAATTCAACTGTGAGAGAAATTTATTCAACTTGTGATTGAGAAAATTACAATTGAAATTAGGTGGTAATGTGATTAGGTTGGTTGTGTTCACTACCTGAATGGGGAGAAAATACTTTTTCCTTTGTAGAAATTAAACACAGTGAAATTTGATATCTACAAAATTCAGACATCTTTAATGAATGATACCTGGCAAATTACCAAATACTTCAGGAAGAATACAGAAAGTATCTGAATCAGAACCTAACTACAAATGGAATGTTTCCAGACACTCAGAGGTCAGATTCATAAGCAAAGAAGTAAAGGATGATGATAATTTAATGAAGGAAGTGGGAGGTTCTATACAATACCTATGCTTTCAAAGGAATGCCAACAATTTTTGTGGAAAAAAAATATTAACATGCTTGTCAGTCAGTTTTTAACAGATTTTTTTTTTCTTTCTGAAAACATTTCATTGGGAATTCCTCCAGGCTAAATTCTTCTCAATTCAGATGAACATCAATCTATCATCAAATACTGTGAGTGTTCACTGAGTGGCTGTTGTACTGGTTGTTTATGTTTGAAAAATCTGCTCATCTTCTAAAAGCTGCGTTAAGAAATGAAGGCACATCATTTACTCACGCCTAAGTAGTTTTTTCATCTCTTCATAATACAAATTTAAAACAACAAAAGCTTCCCTTAGGTCAATAAAATATAAATCATTTTGAGATTAAAGGAAACTGAGGTCAGCGATCAAAATGAAGAGTCTAGAATGTATCGATTTAATTTTGGGCTGCTGCTTTGTTCTAAAAGCAAATGTTTTACATAATCTATATGGTACATCTACTGTTCAACTTACATTTACTGTATAAGAAGCAAACATTGCAACTGATCCGCTATTTTCATAATGAACCAGAAAGAAAAATAATTCACCACTTTGCAAATGATTACTTTCATGGGTATCATTTATTTTTATGTAAATGAAGCTGGCATTTCTATAACTGACATTACATATCTTAAGGTGTGGTAGTGTATTAGCTGAGTCCAAATATAACTAATTATATATTACATATAACATGGGAATAAAACTGCTTTATATCTCAAACACAAATAGAAGTAAAAAAACAGTTCAAACCTGTCAATTTCATTTAAGAAACCCCTGTTTTGAAGGGGGACAGTAAGGATAATAATTAATTTGTATACTTTCAACCTCCCTATTCCATGTAATAGGTAAGCTAGAAACAACTAGATACACAGTTGATTGCTTTCTCAGGCACAAAAAAAATTAACCTAAAGAACTGGCTATATTTTAATAGCTATGGATTAATGTTAAATCAATCAATAAGTATTTATCTCAAACAATACTGCTGTGCATTTTCCAAAATTAGAAAGGAAAAAACAGAACATGTGTATATAAACATATTTATTGTTAAATTATGTGTTTATATGTAACATTGTATATATTAAACTCATTTTAAAAGCAGCAACACTATTGGTTCTGCCATGTTTTATGTTTTCTATGAGGGGATCTAAAATTAAACAGCAATAATTAAAACAACAAATTCACTTAAGAGCTAAGAAAGCTGAAGGCCTGAAAGTCAAATGTTCAATTATGGCTACTTTAAAAAAAAAAAAGAGAGAAATCCATTTTTCTTTTAATGTGGTTTTTGCCATAGTTCCTTTGTTCAGTGTGCAAAAACAAACAAAAAAAAAATACTTTATCAAGTCTAAATGTGCATTTATAAAATTCCTTCTTTTGAATTAAGTTAATTTCCTTTAAGATCACATTCATTCAGGATCTCAGTTTTTGAAGAGTTGCAAAATAGGTTAAAGGGCTTCAGTAATAGAGTAGGCTGCAGCCACAGACAAATCAATTTAATCAGTCACTATGGTATGCACTGTGTTATCCAATTCAGTGAACCATTCTGTCTCACCCATTGACCAAGAACCGCTGTCAAGGTTCCACTTTCACATATAGGGGCTCCATCATATATTTCATCTGCATATTTACTACCATATTTGTATTATAAAATGTTTTTATTTTTCTAAGGGAGCTTTGTTTGCTTGTTTCTTGGCATTTTTTTAAACCAGAACCGCTGGCAAATTATTGCCTGGCTTTTAAGGAATTTGCTGTCATTAAGGAAGCTGGTCTTCTGCATTGAAAGCGTTGCATTAAATGTATATGTGCTTGGGCTTAAAAGGGGAGGAGTGGTATTTATTCTCCTCTTCAATTTATTCATTCCATGTCAATCACTCTTACTAAGAGAGCAGATCACACCCCATTCTGAAATGCTTTCCTTCTCAAGGGATTTACACCAAAATGGAAATGTTCAGCTACCTCTCAGCACACAAATGATACCACACCACATCCTCCATGCAAGCAGTATGTGGTAGTACTAGCCAGCCCCCTTTGTTCACTCACCATTCAGGAATGCTTCTCCAAACTACATTTTGCTTTTGTTATGCATGGGCTAATTTTACATTATGGTATCTGCACCAAAATTGCATATGGCTATGGGTAGTTACATGAATAAATATATAGATGCATGTGCCCACAGGCACATACATATAAGCAGAACTATAACCATACACCATTACATCTCTTAAAGCCTTTAATTAAGAATAAAAATGTACACATAAAAACAAATTCTTGCTAGATCCCTGACACTAAATTAAATACTATAAGCAAAATTAAAATTAAAGGGGATCTAGGATCATGTGCTCTTTCAATCGAAATTATTTCACAAAAATATAGCTGCTTTGATTTTTTAATTGGGGAAGGAAGATCTCATAATTTAAAAGTGTTGTTTAAAAACTATTTCAAGTTGTAGTAACAGTTACTCAAAATTCTGCTGTTTAATCAGTTCTTTTAAAAAGCTATTAAAAGAGGAAGGGAGAACGTTAAGTTAAAGGAGAATAATGTCAATATACAGTGGACTCAAAATCTCTCTGATATCTAAGCCCAAATAAAATTTTAAAAGCATTTAGGACTTTAGAAATACTTTATTCTACCTAAATAATAATTCATTCTGAATAAGAAATTATATGATGTAAAATGTTACTCAGACACAGAAATAATAATCTTGTGATATTAACGGATATTATGTTATGAGGATCCCCAAAAATAAAATAGTTTCAAATACGGAAATTGTATGTAAAATAATTACAGCTTATTTTAACTTACTGGAAATTCACATGCAATGGAAATGACCAAACTCCTAACTGAACAGGTGAAATATTTTCTCAAATTCAATTTATAATTATAAAATACTTTAACTAAGCAATAAAGAAAATAAGCCAAATCATTTGATTCTTAATTCTAACACATAGCACAAGTATGACAATACTGATATATCTATATCTTATATGACTAATAGAGAAATCATTTTCTTTCCAACATCTTACTGCTCATAAGGGAGGAAGATCTTTTTAAATAACATTTTTGGAGGTGACAACCTGATCTTTTCTATCAAATTATGAAAAAGGATAGAGAAAAAGTCAATTCAATTCAGCACAACATGATTTTCTGGTCAGGATTTTTCTTCCCTCAAATATGAACAAATAAGTAAACAAACAATGAACTATAAATGATCCTGTTACTGAACAGAGTTCAGTGCTTAGAATAGTTGGGAAAATGTAATTATACAGCAACTGTAAATAATATGATTATAAGGGAAGAAAGCACTGAATGGTAAAACTATTCTCAAAAGAAACTGAAGAGTCATTTTCAAAGCTCATTTAGTTAGAAGTACTGACATACACATTACTTTTCTAAACAGTTTTATGAGGAACTTTAAATATTCCTTTAAACTTTGGGGACATCATTTCTCCACACAGTCCCCAACCTTCTTCTAATCCCACTCAATTTGAGAGTTTCCTCACTGTGTCTGTATTTATAGAGAAGAAAAGAGTTAATAGCATGCAGAAAATGTGTTTACAGATTGTTTAGAAACAATGATTTCCTTACAAAACTCAAACTAATTTGATTGAAATGTTGCCTATTTTCGTAGCCAATAAACAGTTAATTACTTCAACCCAGAGTTCTAACTTTAATAATTTAAATATGATGGGTTAGGATTTTGTTGATTTAACTATAATCTAAGAGTCCTAGCACAATTATAAATATGAGGCGGCTTTTTTCAGCTAATCTGAGTAATTTATCACATTAGAAGAAATGCTTAAATATTAAGAAATAATTAATCCAGCAATTTGATTAAGGTCAGCTACTTATCACCACCATCAAATGCACATTTATGGGGCCTATTTATACTGTGCATCTTAGAAAGTTAAAAGTCTCTCTTGTATTCAAAACTACCCACGCTATTCTGTGGATTAAAAATTAAAGATTTGAACAATTGATTATTATACAAAATAAAGTTTTTGATAACTGAAAAGTAAGTCCATAAAATTTATTTAAGTTGCTAAAACA